ACTGGAGAGCTGGTAGAGTGTGGGGGGACAGTATCTGAAGATGCACTCTTCTGGAGCCACTCGTGCACGACAACAGGAAGAACACGGCAGCAGCTCTTTATCTGATACGGGAACAGGACATTCATAGCAGCCTTGCCTCAGCTACACGTGCGGCCGAGAGATACTGACCTTCAGTGTATTCCTTGGTGCCATCTAAGGGATCAACCCAAACCACAAGCTGCAAAATAAAAATGGGGAAAAAAGAGAGGAAATATCCATATCAAGTATGTAAAATTCAGAGAGAATTAACAGATTAAAAGCACCCCCCCTTTAACATGTTTGAACACATGATTATAGGTGGCTTAAATCAGTATCATCAGTCTTGTGATCATAAAAAAAAAAACAAAAAACAAAAACCCAACAGAACAACCCCGAAGTTTCCTAATCATGGATTATGGTCATTTAGAGTGAGCAGAAGGCTGGCTGAAGAACCCGCCACATTTTCAATACATCAGTCAATAAGCGATGGCTGTCACACTAAGCCCAATGTCATGAACTCACGTAGCTCTAGGTGGCGCTAAAGGGAAAAATTTTCACAAGGCACTGAGACTATTTTGAACAGTCTAAGCTGTTACTTACTTTATATGTACGTGCGGATTTTTTTTTATGTTAAAAAGACAGGGTCTTTTTACATAGCCCTGGCTATCCTGGGACTCACTACATAGACCAGGATGACCCTGAACTCACAGATCCACCTCCCTTTGCTTCTCAAAGGCTGGGATTAAAGTTGTGTGTCACCATGCCAGGCTTGTACATGCTGATTTAAACGTAAATAACCGTGTCTAAAACAAAACAAAACAAAACAAAACATCCACACACAGTAAGCTGGGTCTGAATCTCTGAGGCTCCTGATGTCCTGTCTCATTATCTTTTGATCCCTCTTCCCACAGAATGGAATTTCTTCCTCACAGTAATTACTCCATAAGTGCAATGTTAATAATTTAAAACTAGGATCCCCTAGAGCTGGAGTTACAGGCAGCTGTTGGCTGCCCGGTGTGTTTGCTGGGAACTGCACCTGGACCCTCACCAAGAGCTGACGTTGCTCTTAACTGCCAACCCGTCTCTCCAGGCCAAATGAGAAGACTTTACGGTTTTCTAGAATGACTAGACCCCTTGCCCACACAATGCTTTGTTACCAAATCTACCAAACGGCAAAGAAAACTCTCTTACTGAAAATGCTTTTCATAATAGTCTCGGAAGGCAGAGCAGAGGAGACCGACAGGAGGGGACTGTGACAGGAGGGGGTCGGTCATGCGCCCCCGTGGTCCCACTCCTGCTGGCTCTAACTGCCACTCCTTTGTAACCACATGCTTCCCCTCCTACAGACAAACTGCAGTCCCTTCCCAATGGAACAGATGCCGACCAGCAGAGAACAAAGCGTGAAGATGGACCTTACGTCTTCCTCTTTGATAGCACTGTACTGCGATGGGCACGGCTGCTTCAGGATCTCCTCCCATTGCCCGTCTTCAATCAGCTCTTGGTCCACGTCCCCGGGAGGCAGATCCTGCAGCAGAGACAAGGTGGCACTGATGAAACTGTTTGTTCCCACAATGCATTGTGTCCCCAACACAACAGCAGCAACTGGGGTCCTAGCCATGCCTGTTTACCTCTCTGCCCAGAGCTTTTATGCAAACCTAGTGTAACACTAGCTGGAGCTGGAGGAGATGAAGTGAGGAACTAGGATTTCCCCAGGAGCTGCCACCCTGAGCTTGAAATGCGGGCACCAGAAAGGGGCCTCCCCCACAGAAGATATCACAGTTCTGCTGACTTAACCTCACAGCTGGCTCCTAGCCTCATTTAAACCATGATTCAGGAACCATCTAGAAAGGAACACAAAACCCTTTCCTCTTCCCTGTGTAATATTGTAAATAAATCCATTTTCCTTTACACATTTCTGTTTCCTAATGTCTTTTGGAACGCTGGGATATTAAGGCAGAGGGTTAGGAACCTGGGTGTCTAATCACAGTAGGACTTGGGATGCGGCTCAGTGGTTCATTCAGCAGCTGCCCAGCATGCACAAGGCTGGGTATAAACCTGAGCACCCCAGAAAGGGAAATGTGAGCGAGGACAAAAAGGGTGACAACAAAAGTCTCCTTATGGAGCCCAGCACACCTGTAATCTCAGCACTCAACTGGCCACAGCTGAAGAATTCAAGGCCAGCCTAGGCTCCATAATGAGACCCTGCCAAAGAAACACCAACACTAAAATCAGAAACAAGCCAGGGCCATCAAGACTGTTTTAGTCTTAGAGCAATAGCACAGGAACAAGGAACGAGAGGAAAACAAGCAGGAAGTGACGAAGTCAGCGCGTTCCTATCTGCAGAGAATATGATGCTTTACATGTTTACGTGGCAGACCCTAACGTTTCCATCAGAAAACTCCTAAAACTGATCAATGCCTTCTGCAGTGTCAGAATACAAACAATGTGATACATACATGTGTATATATATATGCATATATACATATACAGACACACACACATATCTTAAACAAACTGAGGAAGAAATCAAGGAAACAATTCCATTTACAGGAGTCTCAATAAATAAGCAAAATATCTCAGAGGAAACCTAAGCAAGGAGGTGAAGGACCTCTACAAATTTTAAAAGCAAAGGAAATCCCAGGCCTAGTGGAACAGGCCTTTAACTTCAGCCCTTGGGAGACAGAGGTAGGCAGATCTCTATGAGTTTGAGGCCATGCTGACCATACTGAGTTCCTGAACAACCAAAGCTGCACAGTGAGATCCTGCCTCAAAAGACCAAAATCTCTGAAGAAAGAAATCAAGGCAGAGATTAGCAGATGAAAGGCATCTCATGTTCATGGATTGGTAGAATTAATGATGCAAAAATGACCATTTTAGCAGAGGCAATATACAGATTCAATGCAATCTCAATCACAATCACCATAATTTTCTTCAGAAAAATAGAAAAAAAATCTTAAAACTCAAATGGAAACACAAAAGAACCCAGATAGCCAAAACAATCCAGAGTAAAAAATAACAATGCTAGAGGCATTACCTACCTGAGCTCATTATACTACAGAAGGACGGCAACAGAACGGGCATGGCACCGGCACAAACACAGACATGCAGAGCAGTGGAATGGGACAGAAACCCCAGAATGAGCCCATACAATTACCACCACCTAATTTTTAATAAAGATACTAAAAATACATCCTGGAAGAAAGAGCATCTTCGAAAAATAGTGCTGAGAAAACTGAATGTCTACATGTGGAAAAATGAAACTTGATCCTTCCCTCTTGCATTGAACAAAAATCAACTCCATGAGCTGGAGTGCTGGCTAAGCAGGTGAGAAAAATGGTTGCTTTGCAGAGGATCCAGGCTTGATCTCCAGCACCCACATGGCAGCTCACAACTACCTAAAATTCCAGTTCCAAGGGATCTGATGCCGTCTTCTGGCCTCCACAGGTAAAAGGCTCACATATGGAGCAGCAACACCCAGGCAGGCAACACACACACACACACACACACACACACACCACCCACCCCCCCCCCCCCCCCCCCCCCACACACACACCAAAATCTCTTTAAAAAATTCTGCATGCCAGTCGGAGAGTGGTGGTGCAGGCCTTTAATTTCAGCACTCAGAGGCAGAGATAGGCAGATCTCTGAATTCAAGGTCAGCCTTGATTACAGAATGAGTTTTAGAACAGTCAGGGATACACAGAAAAACCCCCATGTCAACAAACAAAAAACAAAAATTGGCTGTAGAACTGAACAGAGAATTCTCAAAAGTATTAAGAATGAATAATAAACATTTTTAAAAGTGTTCAACACCAACAGCATAAAGGGAAAAATGAATTAAAGCTTTGAGATTCCATCTTGCCCCAGTCAGAATGGCTATCATTAAGAAATGAAAAGACAATAAATGCTGGTGAGATGAGGAAAAGGGAGTACTTATTCACTGTTGGTGGGAGTGCAAAGTAGTGCAGCCAGTGTGGAAACTGGTGTGGAAACTCCTCAAAAAACTAGGAACAGAGCTACCGCAAGACCCAGCTATTGTAGTCTAGGACATGGCCAAAGGCACAGAGCTACCATAGGATCCAGCTATCCCACACTAGGACACAGTCAAAGGCTTGACATCTCCCTGCTGAGAGCCAACTCATCCATTTACTGCTTCTCGGTTCACCATAGCTAGGATGTGTTTTTTTTAAGTTGTAAAGGAGATAACCTACATGGCTAGAAACTGCTTCCCCTTGAAACTATAGTTTATTAAAAACCCCAATTTTATGTGTGGGGCAACACCTTATAAGTTGGTCACGGAGGTCCTAGAGGTCCCTTAAACAGTCCAGGTGCCTGTCTTTTGTCTTGGTTGTCCACTAGAATTAGATGATGAGACCTTACTGCTGAGGTCACCACATATTTTGGTTGCATGATATAGAGAAACCAAACTAGAAATGATTTGGAGACATTTTCCCTGCTGACCAGCTTTCATAATGCTAGAGGTGCTATGCAGGCTGCTGGGGAGGAAAAGATCACTGGCTGTGAACCCCACAAACTACAGTACTAATCTGTCAAGCAAGATGCGCCCACTTGTGCAGTAGTGGCACGACTGCTATAGGAGATAACTACTGCTCTGGATAGAATCTGAGGTCTGCTCCACTGGGTGGGGTGGGGGATCCATGCTTAGAACTGTAAACCTACTCAATGTCTGGAAATGCACTCAATAAGAGGGGAGGTCATAAGCCCTATTGGGGAATTAAACTCTATGGCTTTACCAAATTCACATAGTGTTAAACCACCTTATAAATTATATGTTTATTCCTGTAGAGGGCCGGTTTTGAACTGCATAGAAACTCTGTGCAAGGGAGACTTGAGGTAGCATTCTTGCTGATAGGCTTGGCAAACCAAGTTGGGAGGAGGCAAACCTCTCCCATCAGTAGAGTGCCTTGCCAATGGTCAGTCCTTGAGAACACAGATGTGCACTGTAGTTCAAATGCTCTGATGAGGTTATGGTTTGTCTTCTGATGAGGTGTTTTTACATAGTATATTATATTACAACAAGAGTTTTTTCCCATGACACCGAGCTTTTTGTTTAGATTAGCTAGGGCACGAAGCTCTTGAAATTAGTCACAACCAAGTGACTAGTCTATGAAACTATTTTCATGTATTATGGGAACCTAGTTTGAATCATGATTTGAGTATTATAAAAAGAGCACTGACTTTACAATAAAGTATGCAGTTGTATCTCCTACTCTGCATCCCCTGTGTGCGGATTTCTGCGGCACTACCCAGGGTCATCCATAACCGAGGAGGTTGGGGAAGGGTCCCCAACATATTCCCATGGCCAATTCCCATTCTTAGCTTTAATAAGAAGTGTCTCTTTCTAGTGATCTCTGATGGAGGGGCAGATACAATAAGACTGGCTGCACAATAAGACTAAGTTACCGTTGACTGCTCAGCTCTAAATAAGACATTTATACCATCCCCTCTAAGGTCCACGAAGCTCTGTGGGAGATGGGGCGGAAAGAGCTGGAAAATATGGAAAAGGGCTGCAAATACACAGTCAGTGCAATTGTGAACTCTCAAGTACAGAAGACTGCACTGGGTCTGAAGAAGAATGGGCCCATCAATGGTCAAGCAGAGATGGAAGAGACACGCAGGGGGCCCTCTCCTTCACAGCTGAACTATTTCCTGCAGACAGATTCAGGGGCCGGGGAAGCCACTGCCTTCAGTTGTAGACCACTGATGACTAGGCTAATGGATGGTACAAATTAAACAGTCACACAGAGAGCACTGGTCAAACTAAACGGGACACAAAACCAAACCACATTACGTGTCTAGGAAGGGGAAAGGGAAGGGGGTTGGAAGGGGTGAGAGGGAAATTCAAGAGTATGAGGATTAACTGGGATGCATCACACACATGAACTAAATTGTCAAAGAACTTAATAAAAAACAAAACCAAAATATATGCTGTTCTTTCAGTTGTAAGTATGCAAGTCTGACTTCTGAAGTGAAAGACCAGCAAACAACAAAACCTAAACCCATTCTATCTCAAAGTTCCAGAACTTTGCCGACTCCTAAAATTTCACTTTTGATGCTGGGGCTCACACCCAAGCCCTCACACATGGGAGCCACATGGTCTTCTTCTGAGATGTCCTCCCACCTTAGAGTCTCACCTACAGCAGGCAGTGCTCTACCACTGAGCCTAACTTATGGTTCCAAAGCTGCATAGTCATTACAATGGTGACCACGTCTCCCACCATTAAGAATGGAAACTTAGCCTAGAAGTGGAACAAAATCATGTAAAATCAGATTATCTCCTCTGAGGAATATGATCTCTTTTGTGTTCAAACACCAGTTCCAATGTGATCCCTGTAACCATGACGTGATTCAATGGCACGTCAGTTATGAATCTACGTAGTATAGTAACTCTTACCTCCTCCCCTATAATCGTCAGCTTAGGGAACTTCCGTGCCAGGGAAGAGCATATGCTCATCTGTACCAAGCGGTCTGCTTTGGTCTGCAGGTCTGTGGCTGAGGTCTGTAATAAAGAATGAGCATCTCAAGAGAAATACAATTAGGGATAAATGGTCTTCTAAAGCCCAAGTGCACAGTAGCCATATAATTTACACTATATCTTCAGATTTTAGATTCACGGAGCTTAACCCCAAATGAATCAACTAGTTGTATGCTCCATTGCTTCTCGGGGAATTAGCAGAAATTAAGACTGGGAAGTGAAGCCGGGTGGTACTGCATGGCTGTAATCTCAGCATTTGGAAGGCTGAGGCAGGAGGACTGGCATAAATTTGAGACCAGCTTGCACTACAGTGTGCAATAAACACTAGATAAACAAAAGTAGTTTAGATTGATGGAGACAAACCCCAGACCTTGCGCGTGCTGGGCGAGCACTCTACTACTGAGCTACATTCTCAGCTCTATAATGGTTCAAGTTTGTAAAGGTGCTTTTAAATTATTTGGAATATTTTCTTCTCTAGTTGAGAAATTCTTTTCTAAGATTGTAGTTACCAATCTTAAGCCTTCTTTATGGTCTAAGAAAGACAAGAAACTACCACATAAAAAATATGTGCTGCTACATATTTTTTATAATATCATGTTTGAAAAGCAGAAGCAGGAGGTTTGCCGGAAGTCCCAGGTCAGCCTGGTCTACATAGTGAGTTCCAGGCCAGCCCCTGTATGTCCTGTGCCAGCCTGGTCTACATAGTGAGTTAGAGCCAGCCATGACAGCACAACAAAACCCTGTCTCAAAAATCAAAACAAACAAACAAAAAAATAAATTTACATTGTTTCAAAGTAAAGCTAAATACTGTATCATCAGTGTATGAAGAGGGACCTCTATAACTTCTCTCACGCATCCTTGTAATCAAGAGGCCCTGAAGATGATTCATTAATGCATTAGAAAGAATTTCTGGGTTTTTATTGGGGGGAGGGTGGTAAGGATGGAGATGGAGCTGAGGCGAAGTCTCACATAGCTCAGGTTGGCCTTGAACTTACTACATAGCTGAGGCTAGCCTTGAACTTCTGAACCTCTTGCCTTCATCTCCCAAGTGCTGGGACAACGCCTTCTGTACCATATGTGGTTTTTATAGCTTTGAATAAGAAAAACTTATTTAAACATCAGACTTTATCAAACCATTTGCATGGTTTTGTATGGAATAGCTCAGGACTTGTTCTGGAGGTGAACTTCCGGCAGAAGACCCAGTCATATATACAAAGATCTTGGATGTGGGAATCATTTTCAAAATAGATATTGAAACTGAGATCTTGAGAGAGCCACCATTTTAGTTGTTAGTTGGTCTAGATTATGACATTCTTTACCCACTATGAAGAACAAAAACCCATGGCTGCGGGAACAGACAAGGTCTGTAGTACCTTCTGCACGATGCCCAGGTCTCCTTCAGCAATGACACACCTGACTATGCTCCCTGCCTTCTGAGCGATAGAATACGCTGAGGCGACCAGTCGCATCAACACGCTGTGGCTGGAAGCCATGATGAGCCTAGAAGGAAAGGACCAAAAGGTTCTGTTACTTTAGCGACCAGCTACTAGTTCCAATTAATTGAATTCAAGACAATGCATATTTACTGAATGCCTTGGGTCACCTCAGTTAACTGCGGAGGGTCTTATTTTATTTGAGACAGTTTCTCTGTGTAGCCCTGGCTGCCCTGGAACTCACTCAGTAAACCAGCTGGCCTTGAACTCACAGAGATCCACAAAGGTGTGTGCCACCACACCAGGTCACTGCATAGGATCACTAATAAATACACACTAATTTCAGTATTAACTCTCTCGATACACGCTGTAACAAAGTCTGGAAAAATGAAATCAGCAGGAGAAAACATGCTGAGTGTGAGGTGTGTAAAGTGCAAAGTGGAAGGCTTAGGAGCTCAAACTGTAACATGTAGCATCCACCCTGAGCAGCTGCTATTTTGAGCACTAGAGCTGATAAGTGCTAGAGAGTCAGGGAGAGCAGCATAAGGGACTCAGACGCTCACACAGTGTCAACTGCAAAAGAAGGAGCTGAGCTGTAGCTCAGGAGCAGAGCAATTGCTTTGCAATTCGGCATACTTAAGGCCCTGTGTGCAAATTCCAGCACTGTTTTAAAACAAACAAAACCTGCTGTAATCACAACTATGTAGTCCCCACAGGCCTAGAACTCCCTGTGCAGACCAGGTGGCTTTAAACTCACAGAGATTCACCTGCTTCTGTCTCCTGAGTACTGGGCCTCCCTTCTCCTTCTGTTTATGTGACAGACAGAGTCTCACAGTGGAGCCCAAGCTTGCCTCAAAGTACTAATCCTCCTGCCTCTGCACTGATTTGACAAGTATATGCCACCACGCCTGCCTTCGATAGCAAGATGTAAAAAGGTCACTCTGAAGGGTCACGCCAGTGGGGCTAACTGAGGCGTTAGCTGCTATCTTCCTTCCCATTTTTTCCCCTTTCCTTCTACAAGTAATTTCAACAACATTCCCTAGAAAATCTATTATATTGCATTTCTGTCTCCAAGTGCTTAAGGCAAAAACTCTCAGGTTACAGATGCAGCCAGTGACAGAACACCTTCAAAGCCTTGGGCTCAATCCCCACTACAGCAACACATACACACACACACACACACACACACACACAAAACTAAGCACACTTGGTGGTCTAGACCTGTATGAAATCCAAGCACTCAGAAAGCTGAGGCAGGAGAATCCTAAAATGGAGCTCAGCCTAGGATATATAGCAAGTTCTAGGTCAACCTGGCTAAATAAAGATAAATTGTTTCAACAACAACAAAAACCTTTAAAACTTAAAACAAACAAAAGCTTTTCCAACTCAAAATCCACCCAGGTTGACACTGCTCTACTTAGGTCAAGTAGTCTTTATCCACAGGGACCATAAATAAAGGACAAATAAACCCGTTTGCTCTATTGCCAGTTTCTGACTCAACATTCCCTTAAATTCACTCGCATTCTTTTCTGTTGCCTCAGATCTAATCACAAGACTAAAGAACAGAAAGGGGCAAGCCAGGCAGTGGTGGCGCACGCCTTTAATCCCAGCACTCGGGAGGCAAAGGCAGGTGGACCTCTGTGAGTTCGAGGCCAGCCTGGTTTACAAGAGCTAGTTCCAGGATGGGCTCCAAAGCTACAGAGAAACCCTATCGCAAAAAACGGAAAAAAAAAAAAACCCAAAAAACCCTAAACCCAGAAATGGGCAATAAAGTAAACAAACACATGGGGGCTGGAGAGATGGTTCAGTGTTTAAGAGCACTGGTTGTTCTTCCAGAGGTCCAAGTTCAGTTCCCAGCAACCACAAGGTTGAGAGCCAACAACCATCTGCAATGAGATCTGGCACCCTCTTATGGACTGCAGGCATACATGCAGAATGCAGACAGAACACTGTATATATAATAAACAAATCAATCTTTTTTTTTCCTTTTTTTGATTTTTTTGGTTTTCAAGACAGGGTTTCTCTGTAGCTTTGAGGACTGCCCTGGAACTAGCTCTCATAGACCAGGCTGGTCTTGAAAAATAAATAAAATCTTAAAAAAACAAAAAATACGTGAACGTTCTTAAAAGATGCAACTGAGGAGCTGGAGAGATGGCTAAGTGAATAAGAGCTCTAGCAGGACCTGGGTTCAGCTCCTGGTGCCCACGAGGCAGCTCTCAACTGTAACTCCAGTTTCAGGCCAGTTCTTTTGACACCTGAAGGTATGAGGCATGCATGCAATTCACAGGCTTACATGCAGGCAAAACACTCACACACATAATCCCAGCACTCGGGAGGCAGAGGCAGCTGATGTCTGAGAGTTTGAGGCCTGCCTGGTCTACAGAGTGAGCTCCAGGACAGCCAATGCTGCACAGAGGGAAGAGAGAAAAGGTGTAATTGAAACTGATGTGCAGCGCTGAAAATCATCTTGTGGCCAATATCTGTCAGGTGTGAAGATGAAAATAAAATGGGTACCTACATAGTATTTTCTTAAGTTGTAATCCAGCTATGTTGATTTCTTGACATGTTAGGTTTTGCGGGGGAAATAAAGTAAGCTATGAGCATTACCAACTCAGGAACACCACATATGTAATAATTTAGGAAAATATTTCCTTGAACAGCCATGGAGCTAATGTACTTTGAACTGGAAGGTAGAGCCAGGCTGCTAACCTTACCCAGCACCTCTTCTGGGTAAGGGGATGCTGGGAAACCACACGTGAGGCCTCACCAGGCAAGGCCTTGTCACTGAGCTAGACTCCACTCCCCACATGCCTAAATGCTGACCAGAGTGTAACTTGTGGGAGTGGTGACAGAGGTAATTTTCCCTCACCAGGACTTTTCACAGAGATCATTTACCCTTTAATCCAACCCAGTAATTATTTGAGCCTTGTTAGACTTCGGCATGATCAATCTACGTCCTCTTAAGCTTGCCACGCATACGCAGACTTTTCTTCTCGCACCAGAAAATTTCCAGGCTGTCTGCTCACTACCTCACTTTATAATGCACCCTACGTGTACGGACCACAATTGAGAGAGAACATTAGCTTGTAAGACATAAGAATAGAAGGATTACGACTCCTGAGGGCCCGGACAGTTTTCTTACCATAGTTTTTAAAGAAATATATACAATTTTGATTCTTGGTATAAAGAAAAAAAAACTATCAAAAACAAAATGTGTGAAAGAGAGTCCTACTAGCCTTTCCACTTCTTCTTCCCCAGGTAGGAGTTACCTATTGAAGTGACAGGTGACTTAAGAACAAGGCTAATCCCAGCCACTAAGTTACCTTCCTCACAGCAGCTCAAAAACCCCTCATTCACCTTTCTCTGAGTCTTACCTGAGTGCTTCTTCTGGGAACATGACCTTTCAAAAGCTTAGCAAAAAAACAAACAAACAAAAAAAAAACCCCAAGAAAACAAAAACAAACAAACAAACAAAAAACAAACAAACAAAACCCCCAAAAACAAAACAAACAAACAAACAAACAAACAAAAAACCCCCCAAAACTCAGCGTAGTGGCTACAAACACAGACTCAGGGGTCAGCTGCCTAGGTCCCCAGTCCCCATCCTGGCATCCATTAGCTTCGGGAAAGTCCTTGAACTGATAAATGGGAAAAACTGCACCTATTAGTATAAGGTTGCTGCAATTATGAAATAAATACGACATGGAAGGCACTGACCCTACAGATAAGCATCAAACAACGCTGGCTAAACATATTTAAGTGGTTTCCTTTGTTCTGGCTACAACAGAGATTCACGGGAGTGTTAAAAACAAAAGGTGGGGGGCTGGAGAGACGGCTCAATGGGTAACGGCACACACTGCTCCTGTGGAGGACCAGAGGTCAGATCTCAGGACCCATACTGGACAGCTAACAAACACTTGTAACTCCAGCTCCAGGGAACCAGGCGTCCTCTTCTGGCCTCCAAAGGCACCTGCACTCATGCGTACATACCCACATGTAGACACAGCACATGCATGTAATCTAAAATAAAATTTAAACATCTCCCATGGGCTCATGTGTCTGAACGAATGCTTTAGGACCCTGTGGGCAGAGCCTTTAGGAGGCTGGCCCTAGTTAGAGGAAGTGGATGGCTGGATGGTGGGCCTGCAGATTTCATCACGGCCAGTCCATCACTTCTCTGCTCCCTGTTCAGGTTCTCTGCTTTCAGATCCACCAACATGTCAGAAGCCACATGCAAACCTCCACTGCCAAGAATGGTGTCCAGCCACGTCTTTCCCACCATGACAGACTGTGTGCCCCTGAAACCATCAGCCAAATTAAACGTCTTCTTCCTGAGTTGCTTCTCACTGAAGCAAACAGGACAAGAGATATTCCGACCTAGGGAGGCAGCGTGGCACCTGACAGGACAGCTCCTCTCCTGCTCTATTAGGGAGGCAGCGTGGTGCCTGACGGGACAGAAACTCTTCTGCACTACACCCGCGGCTTGAGCTTGGAGTAAATATGACAAGCAATGAATAAAAAGGCAGTCAACCTAACGGCCATGCAGGTAAAAAATCTTTACAATGTCTGCCGGCCACTTCTAAGGATGGAAAACACAAGCCAGGCATGGAGCATGCCTGTAAACGCACCACTCAGAAGGCTGGTGTTGCTGGTACTAAGAGAACTGCTAAAAATTGAGACGAGCCTGGACTAGAGACCAAGAGCCAGATCGGCCAGGTCTACACAGTAAGACCGTCTCAAAACAAGACAAAAGCAAAAAACAGCGACAAAAAAGAAAAATAGCAAGGCTCAAATGACCAGTTTGTTCTCATAGGCTTAAGGGTTAAGGGCTAAAAACCAAACAAAACCAAAATAAAAAACAAAAAACAAACAACAAGAAAAATAAAAAACAAACAAAAAAGCCCACCTGTATCTTTTTTGTCCTTTCTCTTTAAATTTTCACAGGGATGGTGAACGTGCAGATTAGGATTTTAAGATGTCTGATATAGTCCCAGTAAAAGCATTAAAATCATTTACCTTTGGAACCTATTTAAAGAGTGCTTAAGTTCAAGGTATCAGGAAAGATAAAAATGAGTACGATGGAGCAGATTCTGAACAATTAATAGAGATCCCCTTGTTACCAATTATCAGAATATAATAATCAGCTGGGTGTGGTGACCCTGCTTCTAGTCTTTGCACTTAGGAAGCTGAGTCAGGAGAGCTGGTAATAACACACCAACATTAGTTACACAGTAGGTTCCATGCCAGCATTGGCTACTTCATGAGGTACTTTGTCCCAACACCCATGCATGCACACGCATACCCTAAACAAAATGAATGTTTGGAAAAAGTGTGTGTGTGTGTGTGTGTGTGTTTAAACATAGAAATGCATATATTACACACACACACACACACACACACACACAGCTGGCGTTAGAACCCTGGCCTCGTGCCTGCTAGGCAAGCACTCTACCAATCTCTCAGTAAAATTTCAGAAATAAATCCAAACATACTGCTAAGAGTGGTATTTTAAATCCAAGAAGCCGACGAATACAGTGACACAAGCCTAGCACTTAGGAAGGGGAGGCAGGAAGATTGTGAACTTGAGGCAAGCCTGGGCTACACCACAAGATCCTGTCTCAAAAGAAGAAAAGAGGAAAGAAGAAAGGAAGAAGGGGGAAAGCCACTTGTACTTGTACACAAATGGCAGGGCAAGGCTAGAGCTTCAAATACAGCTGGGTCTTTCTTGCATTCTTATCAAATATGTTCCAGGAAAACTGATAAAAATGGTTCAGTAGGTTAGAGTCCGCCCCTAAACCTGACAACTTGATTTCAAATCCATACAGTAGGGAGAGAGACTCCAGCAAGTAACCCTCCATCTTCCACTCACATACCCGTGGCACACATCACACACAAGCACATTGGCGCTCGCTCTCTCTCTCTCTCTCTCTCTCTCTCTCTCTCTCACACACACACACACACACACACACACACACACGCACGCACTAAATGCATTTTTCTAAAGTTCTAGGTAGTCCTGATTGAAAACATACTCCTATAATTCCAAACCTTAGGAGGCTGAGGTTAGAGTGCTTTGAGTTTGAAGCCAGCCTAAGTTTGGTCTTTCTCAATCTGTTTCTCAAATACGTTTTAATTAAAAGAGTGAAAAGATTAAAAGTCTAGGAGTGGTTTTATAAACTTATAAAGACTTTTAAAACATAAAACTAAGAATTCCAAAGCCATAACTGGTAAGAGGAGAGGTTAAGTCCTGCACCATATTCCAATAATTGAAGTTGTATTTGGGGCTCTTATGCCTCAGTATATAAAAGGCGATACTCCAGTGAAAAATGAGGCAAATACAGTTAACAAGCAGTTCCCAGAAAAAGAAAAGCGCTGGTCATCAAATACATAAATGTAATAATACTGAACACGAACGAAATGCAAACTTAGAGAAGTGAATAAGATTGACACATGCAAGCGTTTGCCCGGTCTGCAAGGATTGAGAAAATATGTTCCTACAGGAACCCTTTAGCAAGTATCTTTCGAAGTAGCTATTATATTCCCGGGGAACCAAATCACAACGGCCTACTAGCGTGCAGACATGACAACCAGAAGAATATCGGCTCTCGTGAAGTTTCCGGAAGGATGCAGTAAGAAGTGACAGTAAAGTTTAACCTTGTGGTTTACTCAGTGTTAAGCAGCGTCCTTCCAGAAGACCAGGCCCAGGTAAACAACCACATGTGGCGGCCAATCAAGCTCCTAGAAGCGGCTGGACTGCAGGCAGTTCCCAAGGGGCGCTTTGCATCACAACCCCTGGCTCTCCTCTGTGCCAGGGGCGGACCAAGCAACTAGGGCCTCGGAGGCCGTGCCCTGCCGCGGGGGAAACTTACACTCAGTCGCTCAAGTCCCAAAACTGCTGTCCCGCCGGGTCGCTCCCTGCCCGATCCCGCTTCCTCCAAGTCCGCCGGTCCAATGTGAACAAGGAGACACGGTTTCCGCGGCTGCGCTTGCGAGAACTCGGCGCAGGCGCACAGCAGTCTCCCCGTGGGCTCCGGGCCGTCGGGGAAGAACCTGCTTTGCACAGGTTTACGCCACCTGTCGTCAAAGCCCGTCCCGGGTGCTGGTTCCTGGCGTCTTAGCTTCACCTCAGCAACAGTTTTTTGTTTTGTTTTTTGTTTTTTACCTGTTTTGTTTCTTTTTGTTGTTGTTTCTTCTCCGAAGTTTGGAACCTTGGTCACTTGAGGGGAATCTCAGCCAAGGGCAAGTAGCTGTGCCCTGCTCTGCCCAGACGGCATAGCCAGAGTTTCCCTAGGGGCTGCCTTCCCAGCTCCTGGTTCAGAATGAACCCAGGCTCAGGGATGCAAACCTGGGATCCCTGTGTCACCTTGGCCAGAGTGAGGTGTAGCTGTAGCCCCCTGGGGGGGGGGGGTGCACCACTCTCAGCCTTGCTTGTTTTGTTTCTTGAGTGGGGTTTAGGTAGCCCAGACCAGCCTTGAGCCACATTTCTTCCTAACTTAGCTGCGATTGCACACGTGCCACCAACATGCCTGGCTTGTCTGGGTTTTTTTTTTGTTTTGTTTTTTTTTAATGAGTTGCCTTTACGGAATTGTTTCCATTAAAACAACACCACCACCACCCCTTAAAATCTCAGATCGCTATTTTGTGAGGATGGTAATGAACACATTTTGTTTCTTTCTGTTTGTTTTCTGCAACTCTCGAACTTCGGTTATAAAAAGCAAACCATAACTTATATATATAGTGTCAGGGTCTCACTTTGGCTGGCCTCGAACTCATGGCAATCCTACCTCAGCTTTTCATATACTGGGATAACAGGCATAAACAAACCATAACACACCCCTATTTTCACTGGAGAGAAATGTCAACATATACCATTTGCATATAGCTGTGGTTGGAAAAGACTTGAATTTTATTTCATTTACTCTGTGAATTTAGACATGCCTTTTTTGTGTGGTTTATGAACAACAGTAATTTATTTCAAGGCATTCTGGAGGCTGGGAGGTTCAAGGTCATGCAAAGCATTGGCAGAGTCACAGTCTGATGGGGGTCTATCTTCTGGTCATAGATGGCACATTCTCCTTGTCCTCATAGGTACGAAGGGGAAAGGCAGCTCTCTAGGACCTTCTCCACTCCTGAGGACTGCCCCCCCCCATCTAACCACTCTTGAGAGACCCCCACCTCTAAATACCATCACTGTAGGTTAGAATCTTAACATAAACCTTGGGGAGACACAAATATGTGAATTTTGGTAGGGCCCATCAGTAGTTATTTTCATTTTAGTCATCCATAAGTGCTATTGTTCTCACAGTTAGAATAAGGACATGAAAAACAATAAAACAAAACAAAAAGTCCCCAGGTGCCGGAGTACAATGGAATGTTACTTACTTCCTTGCTGGGACCAAGTATCTAACAAGGAACACTTTAGGGGGAGGAAGGGCTATTTTGGCTCATGGTTTGAGACAGAGTTCATCATTGCAGGGAAGACATGGTGTTAGGTGTTTCCATGGCAGCGAAGAGCATATGGCAGCTGTTTCCTCATAGACATGCCTCCCCAGAGCCAGCTGGTTAGTGAGAGTAACCATATGAATGAATTCTGGCTTTGATTGAAAGACCCGAACTCCATGAGTACGATGGAAGAGCTACAGAAGATGAGTCCCAACCTCAGTCTAGGATGTACACGCAAACACACCCACACACATGTGAACCCACACGGACCACACATACACATGGAAACAGAAAAAGCCATCACATACTGAACACTACATCCAGCAGTCTACTTTCCCACAATCCCAACACTTCTTAGCAAACTTCATGTTTGTTCTATGAGATGACTGTGTCCTCTTGGCTCCCAAAACTGAGCATTTTTTTTTACATTCATTGACTTTGTTTGTTGATGCTTACCTTTTCCCTTTTTTTCTACTTTATCTTGACTTGTAGCAACTTTAATACTTTTTTTTTAAGTGTACTGAAGGAATGGCAAAATAACAGCTGTGTACATGTGTAGCCCTGGCTGTCCTGGAACTCTAAGATAGACCATGCTGTCCTCGAATTCGTAGTTCCGCCGACCTCGGCTTCCCGAATGCTGGGATTTTATGCCTGCGCCACCACTGCACGGTTTTAGTCCCGCTACTTGTTATGTTTACGACGCTGGACAAGTTGCTTAACTAAAGTCTCTGACCAGGGAGAGCTAACCGACAGCGGCCCACTCCTTCTCTACCCTTGCTTGACCTGGGGGAAGACCAGGTGTGGCGCCGACCTCCAACCCGGAAGGTTCCGTCCCTGCCCCACCCCTTCCGCCCCGCGCGCGTGCGCAGTCCCACGCGTCTGAGTTCTCCGGGGGTCCCAGCATTTAGATCCCGGGCTGCTGCCGTGCGCCCATCGCTGAGGTGTCCGCTTGCTCGCCCACCATGCGTTGGGGGCTGTGCCCTCCCGGGCCCGGGGCGGTGGCGCTGGCCGCCGCCGGCAGCTTCTGGAGGCCGGCCCGCTTTCCCGGCCGCCTGGGGTATCGGAGGCTGGTGGTGCGGTCGGTGGCAGGGGCGGATAGCCCTCAGAGCACCCCGAACAGCGGTAGATACCGCGACACGGTGCTGCTACCGCAGACCGCCTTCCCCATGAAGCTGCTGGGCCGCCAGCAGCCCGAAATGGAGCTGGAGATCCAGCAGGTACCGGGCGCGGCCACCCGGGCAGGGCGGGGTGCTGGGCCAGCTCTGCGGGCTCCGGGCCGCTGGGGTTACCACGCGGGCCCCCTAAGCGGAGCCCAGTGCCACGCAGTGCGCGTTCCGATTTCGGCACCAAGAGAGTCAGCTTTGCACACTCTCCAGTCATTTATCAGAAAGTAACCAGCGTGTAAATAAAAATTCAGGTCTGAGCTGGAGAGATGGTTCAGCGCCTAAGAGCGCTTGCTGCTCTTGCTGAGGACCTGAGTTCGGTTCCCAGCCCACAAGTCTGGCACTTCACAACCACCTGTTGACTCCAGCTCCAGGAGAGCCAGTGCCTCTGACCTCCGCCGGCATCTGCGCTCACCATGCACGACACAGAAATAATTAAAAATAAAAAAAAAATCTCACGTCTTGAAAAAAATAATTCAAGTGTTAGCAAAGAAGGGAACTTGAAGCCCACCTCAGTTACAGGTTTAGGCCTTTCGCTGGAATTATGCCTCCTTTGCAGGACAAAGTAGCAGTCCTTCTCTGAGTCCCTTTTGTAGACTGTGTTATGTCATATATCATATGCGATATAGACATAAATGTATATACACACGCATGTACACCTGTGTATCTCTTATATATATGTATATATATATATATCTCATACTCAATTTTCTCATTGAGACTCACGTGTTAGTGTCTATAATATTAGAGTCTGTAAATATCCCTGTTAACCAGGAATACTGCTTAAGTGAATAGAATTTTCCTGAATATTCTTTGGATTTAGGGAAGTATTGAGGCCAAAGAATAGCAAGAATAAGTTACCAGTTTTATTTTGGGTGGTGGTAGTAGCGGGGTGGGGATGGACAGGTCTCAAGGCTGGATTGAGGCAGTGGATACTGAGAGACTTGCCAAGAATTTAGAGCCCCTCTGTCCCCTAAAATCTGAAGTATTATTGGGGGCAGGAAGACTGCTGAAAATGTTTAATACCAGTTCCTTCCAAAAATGTTTCCAGTTACATTTCTGAGTTGAATGGGCTGGAATGGAATCAGTAGTATCTGAGGATCGATAAGATTCCATAACATGTATTTATGTGATATGTAAACATTGTTTTTTTTAAACAGAAATGTGGGTTTTCAGAGCTTTATTCCTGGCAAAGAGAAAGAAAAGTAAAGACAGAATTTTGTCTTCATGATGGACCTCCTTATGCAAATGGTGACCCTCATGTTGGGCATGCGTTAAACAAGGTAATTATAATTCAGGTTATAAAACTTGCTAGTAGGGGCTGGAGAGATGGCTCAGAGACTAAGAGCACTGGATGCTCTTCCAGAGGTTCTGAGTTCAATTCCCAGCAACCACATGGTGGCTCGCAGCCTTCTGTAATCGAGTGCTTTCCTTTGACCTGCAGGCATACATGCAGACAGAGCACTGTATACATAATAAATAAATAACTCTTAAAAAAAATTGGAAGTAACTATTCTGCAAAAGAACATATTCTAGCCGGGCAGTGGTGGTGCACACCTTTAATCCCAGGCAGAGGCAGGCAGATCTCTGAGTTCAAGGCCAGCCTGTTGTACAAGAGCTAGTTCCAGGACAGGCTTCAAAGCCACAGAGAAACCCTGTCTTGAAAAACCAAAAAAAAAATAAAACAAAAAAATAACATATTTTACTTGTGTGATAATTATGTAAAGTTGCACTGGCCTATGCAAATAAATGAATTATTAATTATAAATAAATTAATGAATTATTAATGAGTTTGTTTATTTGTTGTGGTGCTGGAGATGAAACTCAGGGCCTTGTTTGTGCTAGGTAAGTACTCTACCAGGGAATTGCATCCCGATGTATTTTGTGTGTTTCCTTTCAGCTTTTTGTTATATTATACTTAAATTTCTCTTTTCCATTACTTCCTGTTTAGGTGTCAGGCATTATTCTGTACTCCAGATAGTGGAAAAATTAGTCATGTCCCTTCCTTACACTCTCCTTGGGAAAATAAGTTAGGGTATAACACAGGGGGCAGTGGTAATAGCTGTGGAGGAAACAAAGATGGAAAGGAGGCGAGATAATAGGGAGAATCATAGCTGAAGCTAATTTTTTAAAAATGTTGTTTTGTTTTATGTGTTTGAGTGCTTGGTCTGTGCACCACTTGCATCCCTAATGCCTGCAGAGGCCAGAAGAAAGCTCGCAGATGCCCTGGATTGGAGTTCGAGATGGTTGTGAGCTACCATGTGAGTGTCTAGCTTCTCTGGAAGCCAGTGTTCAGAGAAGCCAGTGCTCGTAACTGCTGAGCCACCTCTCCAGCCCTGGAGCTGTAATTTTAATAAATGGATTTGGGATGGCTTTTTAACAGGAAAGGTGAAATTATGGAAAATATGAAAGCAAGTGAGCATCCCGTGTGCCGGTGTGTGCCTGCATTCTGATGCTTGGTAGTTGAGGCAGTAGGATCATTGAATGTGTGAGGCCAGTTCAGGACTCGAGTTAAAAACCTGTCTCAAGAACAGCCAAATGGAACAAAAGAAAAGCCCCAAATAGGTAAGAATAGCAAACGCTAGACCTGAGATGGGTGTTTTGGACTCATCCGAGGAATAGTAAGGAAGGAGGCATGGGCAGTTCATGAGGGGAGAATGTTAGCTACGGCCACAGACGTGGCAGAGTTCAGATCGAACAGTTCATTTAAAGGACTTCCGGCTACTGTGTATGTGAACACTAGCGAGCCTTTGGCCTTTGGGGTCGGGGGATTGAGTAGATACACTCAAGACCTGATTTACTGGATAATTTACTATGATTTCAAATATTTATTTGGTTTGATTAATAGGATCATTTTAGACTGTTGTGTTGGTTATAGTGTTGAGGTTAAGGAGTCAGGAGACAAAAAGACCAGCCCAGGAGTTAGATGACAACAACAGTGTCATTGACAGTTGAAGCCACAAAAGCAAAAAGGGACCATGTTTGGAGTGCAGTCTGATGGTGGAGGTGATGGAACACACTGTTAGGAGCAAGAGCCAAGGACTCTTCAGAGAGCTTTGACTGGAATACTTAGGCCAGTGTTTCTCTAACTTGACAGGGAAGATGGTGGGGTTAGTGTTGGGAGGTGAGGAGTTCAGACTTGGGCAGGTGAAGATGCCTAGAGATCAGAGAAGTAACACCCAGACTCTGCTGGGCAGGCACCGGCACAGGGTCTGGAGCTGGTTCTTGTTTTGTTTCTGAGGCAGGTGGATGACTTTGTGTAGACTCAGAGACTCCTCTGGCTACCCCTGTTTCCCTCTGTGATGGAAGAAGCTGTGGTTGTCATCATGAGTACCTGGGGTCATCGTGATGACTGCTTCCCAGGGAAAATTGTTCTTGTTATGACATGATTATCAGTTCATCTTTCTTTTTAAAATTGTGTTTATTTGTGTGTGCGGGTGGGCGTATCCATGGTGGAGATCAGAGGGCAGCTACCTCTAGAAGGCTTGTCTAGAGATTGTTGGATTTCTGGTTTTATATTTTACAAACAGCATTTAGCTTTACGTTTATGCCTTTTGTGTCTTGCCTTGAGTGCTCCTTTTCAGTTTAGAAGCGTACTTGAGTTTTGTTTGTGTGTGTGTCTGTGTATGTGTACATGTGTGTACATGTGTATGCCTTTTAATTTCTAACATACTGTTAAAAACAAAAGAGACTTCCACATTACTTTAGTTTTTGTTTGGTGTTGGTACTGGAGATCAAGGCCAGGGTGCTGCTTGTACTAAACACTGGACCTTCAAGCTACACTCCATAGAGTTTCTATTATTGATCAGATTCTCATTTCTGACAGATGAACTGTTTTAACTATGTTCTTCTTTTTTTTTTTTTTTTTTTTTTTTGGTGTTTTTTGAGACAGGGTTTCTCTGTGGGTTTGGAGCCTGTCCTGGAACTAGCTCTTGTAGACCAGGCTGGTCTCGAACTCACAAAGATCTGCCTGTCTCTGCCTCCCGAGTGCTGGGTTTAAAGGCGTGCGCCACCACCACCCGGCTACTATGTTCCTTTTTTTTTTTTTGAGGAAAAAAAAAAAATCTCTTGAGTAGCTTGAGCTGTCCTTAGACTGTTGATCCTTCTCTGCCTCAGAATATTGCCGTTACATATGTGCACCACTATGCCCAGTAGTCCACAGATTTGATAAGCTCATTGTACTTAAAATTATACCTACTTGTATTTTAAAATATATTGACTTATTTGCATGTGGGAGGGTACAAGTACCACTGTCTGTACATAGAAGACGGAGAACAGCTTGAGGGAATTCTTCCCTTCTACTACGGAGCTGGAAAGATAGGAGGCAGCGTGCATGTGGTTCAGGAGTACAGAATTGGTTCCAAGAATGCAAAACTGCCTCCTCCCTGCCTGCCTGGAGCCCTGACAGCAGCTTGGGGAATCATGGGGATTTGGTCTTATTCCTCAGGGAGTATGGTCTCACCTTTCCCCTGCCTCGTGTGCATTTCCTCAGTGACAAAAATGACTTACATTCTCTGTTGTGAACTCTCAACCTGTACCAACTAAAGTTCAACCACCCAGCTCCAAAATTATTTCCTAGCCCTTTAACCTGACTTTTGCCTTCTAGTTAGTGTACAT